ATGACTGATTTGTGTCATTTATGATTTTTTTACTCTTCATTTACATGAAATTCTAAATTTACCTTTAATTTTAATGAGCCATTAAAGATATGGTGTATTTTTGTAATTTTGAAAAATTTTGAGGTGCAAAGTACCAAATTTAAAATTTTGGGGTACAAAGTGTTAAAAACCATTATTTTTGGGATGTAAAGTGCCAAATTTAGAATTATGGGGTGCAAAATACCAAAACCCCCTATTTTGGGGGTGCAAAATGCAAATGAGTCAATAATTAAATTAGGTTTATCTTGTCAAGTGTCAAAAATGGATTAAATATTTTTGCATCTTATTTGTTGTGGCACTGTTATACGACCTTTTTTCTATTTCTCTTGTTTTGTTGCTATGCAAAGAAGGGAGTTTTTGTTATAAAAGGAGTTTTTTATCGTGTCAGCAACCACTTTAACTTTTCCTTGCTAGCATACATATAAATACATATGTCAACTTTTGGCAAAGTTTTGGATGGGAGGTTGATGGTAAGAAGAAATTGATAGACAAAAGTAGAATGTTTGGACTGTTTTGATGAAAGAAATATTTGAGGGACCATTTTAGTGGCTGACATATCTTTGAATGATCATTTTAATAGTTTACTTTTTTAAATTCTTGACTAGTTAAGTGGGGAAATTTTTATGAGATTTATTTAATCAAAAAAATTGATTTTTTATTAGAAGGAAAAAACCTTTTCACCCCTCACTTTTTTTTTTTAAACTTTTAATTCCTCTCTTATATATGATTATCATTGATGCATCTATTTTTGGATCTGGTGTTTGATCACTTATTAACTTATTGTGCTAATACTTGTCTTATTAATTAAAATTAGACGTTGAAAAGACTTGGATGTACTAGAAAGCTCACAATGAAAAAGGTCTAAGGGAGAAGACTTTATATTCAGTTTTTCCATCTATTTTACAAAGTATGTGGAAAGCATGCCAAATACTTTGCTTTATAATTTATATGAAAGTAAATCTTAAATACATTTATAATTTATACATGACAAAATTATGTCACAACATTTTTATTTATTTTTTGTGGGGGATCAAACTTCTTAAAAAAAGATTTATTGAAATAATAAATGAGCTCAAGCTTCAAAGTTATCAACATTCAAAAATTTAGTTAGAATAATGTTTGAAATTGTTGTTATAGTTGAACTTGAACGATTCACCTTTTTTGGTTAAATATTAAGGTTAATGTAATTGCTGATTGATATTCTTACCATAGTTTAAATATTTTTTGATACTTTTGTTGAATAATTTTTAATAATTTGATTTTTTTCACTATTGTTTGATATTTTACAAGAGATTTACTATATATTGCACTTGAAATCAATAAATCCAAAAGAAAAATAATTAACAAAAAGAAAAAATAAAAACATACCATTTCAATAAAATTATGATTTAATGAAATATATAAAAATAAATGTGGCTAATAAAACAAGCCATTATTAATAATAATTTTTAGTGACAAAAGTAAGTATTACTAATATTGAATTTGTTTGTGGCAAACATGACAGTTTTTAGTAACAAAATTATATGTAACAAAAATGCTTTAAAGGAGTTACAAATAACCCAAGTTGCTACTAATTTCAATAACTATTAGTGACAATAACATGCATAAAAAATGTTGCTCAATAACAATGACCATAACAATAATTACTAATTATTATATAAAAGTGATGGTTCAATCATTACAAGTAATTAACAATAGTAACATCCTACTTTGTCATTATTAATTTAAATATTTACAATGATTAAGTTGGGACACAATTGATTGTTGGTATCAGTGAAATGTCATTATTAATTTAAGTATTTACAATGATTAAGTTGGGACACAATTGATTGTTGATATCAGTGAAATTTTTAATTGCCATTGAAAAAATGAATGTTCGTGAATAACACTAAATTTGTCACAATAAAATAGTGACTTAAGCAATTGTAATATTCAATGGTGACCGAAAAATTCGTCACTATGCATATTTGTGACGAATTTTAAAATCCTGGGTGACAAATTTTATTTTCACAAAAATTGTGATTTCTTATAGTGTCATTTTGCTAAAAGACCTCTTTATTTTTTGGACTTCTTCTAAAATTTTTTATTATTAAATATATTTATGTTGATATATTAAATTAAAATATAGTTAAATTTTAAAAAATACCTAGTTAATAAAAAGTTGAAGAATGGGAATAAACAATTTGAATTTAATTGAAACTATTCAAGAATTACAATTTGAAATCTAATAATCAAACCAAATTGGGAAAGTTTACATTTTCTCTTTACTACATAACAGCATCAAAATACTAAAGGTAAACATTGTTTTTATAAAATGTTTAAATAAATTTTATAAAATCAAGAGTAGCTTTTTATTTAGTTAAGTTGTGCAAATAGGTTAAATTAATTTTATAAAATTTACCCTTATTTTTATTTAATATCTCAAATTAAAATTAAATATATTTAATAGATTTATTATTAATTATATCTATTAACTTAAATCTTAGAATTTAAACAATTAATAATTCTAATAGTAATATTTAAAAATTTAATAAAACTAAAGAAATTGAGAGTAAATATAATGATTGATTTAATATGATTAATTTTAACGTGATAAATGATACATTAAATAGTTTAATGAGATAAATACAATAAAAAAAAAAAGTTCATGAGAATAAAATAATTTTTGCCCATTTGAGAAATGAATAAAATATAGGAAAAATTACCCAACCAGTTGATTTGATAAAATTTATTACCTTGAGAGTCGGTATCAGAAATACTGGCTTTGGGGTTTAAAAAATAACTCATAAGGTAAATTGACTTTCTAAAGTACCCCAACTTACAACCCCCCATCTGCACCCACCCCTTTAGCTTGTGATGAACACCCCTTGCACAATTGGAACAGGCCTCCATCCATTGCCTCCCGACTAGAAACCCTCCATGACTAGATCCCATCCCCTTGGTCTGGGACTGGAACCCCCAACCTACATAGTCCCCCGACCTATGACTGGAACACTCCAAGGCATTGATCAGCCCCAACTAGAACCCTCCTGACTAGATTAGTCCCCCACCCCTTTAGCTTGTGACCCCCCTCCAAGTGCCTGCAACCAAGTCTCCCTTTGCACAACTAGGACAACCCCACCAGCACCATCTCTCACTCTTTTGAATATTTACGACAATTTACAAATTTATATTAGTAATTTTACATGTTCATGATTATAATTTTACAAATAATGATATCTTATAAACGTAATTTACAAAAATATACTTATAATTTTATAAATTCATACTTATAATTTAATTTTGAAAAAGTACGAAAAGATATTTTGAAAAATCAGATTATCTTCTAAATCAATATTTTTTATTTTAAACTTTTAAAATTATTAATTACAAAAATTATACTCCAAGTAAATAATTCTAATAATAAATTTTCCTAAAACATATGCCTAAGCACATGTCATCTGAACGGAATTTATAAAATGCCTCTCTCTCTCTCTCTCTCTCTCTCTCTCTCGGATGGAGCGGGACTTCTCAAAACCCCTTAAAAGTGAGTTTTAAAACTTTCAAAATGAATTTTTTACGGTAAGGAAAGCAAATCACAACTTATTTTATATAATTCATAAAGAAAAAAACCCATAAAAAATTGCACTTTATTGGGTGCCATCAATTCCTTTATTTTGATCTTTTCCGTTCTTTAAAGTGATTCCAAATTGATGAAAGTCCACTTGGAATCAAAGGAAAAAAAAAATAGAGGAAAGGGTTTTGTCTGATTTTTTCTGTAGACCTTTTTAAAGCAGAAAAGGCAAGAATCAAAAATGATCTTAAATGGGTATCTCAACTAATGCCTTAATTAGAACAAAGATTTTCTGAAATTATAAGTTAGATAATAATATGCTAAAATTGCATAAATTATCATTAACATTTTTCTCTTTGATGGGTGGGGGGGACACCTAGGAGTGTGCAAACCGAAAATTTGGTTTAATTTTTAATAATTAAATTTAATTTTTTGGCAAGTGTTTTAAAACTTAACCAAACTAAAATTAATCACAAACCAAGCTAAATGAAACCTAAATTTTAATTTAGTCGAGTTTGATTTGATTTAGGATTTGATTTATTACAATTTAATAGTTATTAAATAAATTATTTGTTTAATTTTAATGGCCATTTAATAATAATTAATATATACATATATACGAGGTTGTGCACACACACACATTTATATGCCTAAATATTATTATAATTAGTATATAGTATATAACAAGCAATTATATAAAAAATAAAAGTGTAAAAAGCTTTGTTGAGAAAAAAAATTTTCAAAATTTTGATTTATGAATGCAAATAATTTAGTTTGGTTCCATACTAATCCAAACCATAAATTTAAATTTATTTTTTAGTCCAAATAAAATCAACTCAAATTTGACAAAAACCAAACTAAATTTTAAAATTCAGTTTAATTTGGTTAATTAATTTGATTTTTTATTACATTATGGGACGCCAACTTCATTAACAAGATTAACAAACTATAAACAGTTGAATCAGCACACAGTCATCATCGGTCCAGCTGTTTTTATCAGACAATCCGAAGAAAGAATAATAATAATAATAATAATAATAATAGTAAATCCTTGATGATAAATTACATAGAAATAAAGAAAGTTCTCCCATGGGATAAGCAGCTTAAGAAGAAAAGCAAACCACCAATTTGAGAAAAATAATTTCTTCAGGAAGTATATGTGCCTTCTCTTGTGGGAGTTACCCGTTGATTACTACCAAAAAAAAAAAAAAAAAAGAGAAGATTTTCTAAAATAAAAGAAAGACTTAATCTCTCATTAAATATAAAAAAAGTATTTAACGCGCGTTAAAGATTATGTGCCATTCTAATTTATTTATATTCAATTTTCCCTAAAAAAAAAGACTACGAAAATTAAAAGAATAATTGCAGGGTGTAGAAGAAAGAAGGAGCTTGCCATTGCAAAGTAAATTTATCGCGGAGCTCTTCCTCTCTGATGCTCCATGTGAAACGGTACAAAGCTTCTGCTATGATCAACGGAGACCTCACTTCCATAAAAATGGCTTGTGTTCCCATCGGTTTCCCCATCAAAACTCGAAGAAGTGAAAGTGGGTTCGGAATTGAGGTTTGAACTAGCCAATCCAATGATGTTCTCGATCTCCCTCACCACGTCACCCATTTTAGGCCTGTCGACTGATGAATCGTTAACACATCTCAATGCCAGTTCCAGGAACTTCTCTAAGCACACCTGTGATGCGCCCCACTCAATGGAGGAGTCAAGAATCCCTTGAAGGTTGTATTTATCTTTTGATCTGTTCCTTGCTTCATTGACCTCTGTCACAATGTGCTTCCCTCGCTCTATTGGCCTTCTACCAGTTATCAGTTCTAGCAGCACAACTCCAAAACTGTAAACATCACTCTTCTCCGTCAACTGTCGGGTCCTGTAATATTCAGGATCCATGTATCCCTGGATTACAAGTGAAATGAATTCTTTAAATGTAAAGATTAGTTATGTCAACATGCATATTTGAGAATGCCAGGGCTGATTGTTTTGGCACGACATGTGACCTATTCACTTGAAAGAATACTCGTGGTAAAGGTAAAGGAGAGGCAGTCATGCTTCAAATGTTGAAGATCAACTTATATATTTTCACTTCCTTAAAAGGAAGGGCAAAAAAAAAAAAAAGGAAATGATTCCTGGACACAGAAACTGAGATGCTGGCACTGAGCTTTAACATTTTCTGTCACTCTCCTAAACCATACTTCAACACTTGCAAGCAAAATGCTGATATTCTAGCTAAAATAGGTTATAATAGATTGGATGATTTCCTACTTACCGGTGTTCCTTTAACTTGCGTGGTGATATAACCCTCCAAAGTATCAGCCAATGGCTTTGATAATCCAAAATCAGCAACTTTTGCATTTAGATTATTATCTAGGAGGATGTTGGTTGATTTGATGTCCCTGTGTATAATGGGAGGGTTTGCAAGCTCATGCAGATATGATAAACCTCTTGCTGAATCAAGGGCTATTCTAAGTCTTCTCATCCAGTCCAGCTGGATCCCTGATTTCCCTGCATGAAAAAAGAACTACAGATTTTATGGCCCACTCAGGAGTTTCATTTCATGGGTAGCACAATCTGTGTGTCGAGAGTAGTTAGGATTGTACTTCTGTTTTAACTAAACTTTATTAACATTCTCTAGGAGTCAACTACATATATATATATATATATATTTGGTTCATGAAAGCAGCACAACCAATTGATCTTCAAGAGAAAGCATTTCTATCCTTGATGCGGTTACCCTGTTTAATCTAGATTCAGACAGCATAGGTAAAAGAAAATGAAAGGTAAGTACCTGAAAGACTCTCCATTAGAGTGCCATTTGGTATGTACTCATAGACCAATATTTGTTCACCTTCCTCGTAACAGAAACCAACAAGGCTGACAACGTTCTTATGGTGAATCCTTGATAAAAGTTCAATCTCAGTTTTGAACTCAATAGCACCCTGCAATGATCCCTGTTGAGCTCTTTTAATAGCAACTAATATTCCAGTGGGAAGGGTTCCTCTATAAACCTGTAACCAAGGAACAAATTTATAATCTCGATCTTTTTGTTTCTTTGAGGCCCAGGATTACAGAGAGAGCAAGGACCAATCAAAGCCTCAGATACACGTGAACAGAGCTCAAAAATGTATTCAACAGTAAAATTCATGCTCTCCGATCCCTCCAACAACTAAGTAAATTGTATGTTTTCCATGGTGGAAAATTTCAAGCTAACTACAGAATGTCTGCAAAAATTTTAACTTCAATCAAAGTATTGGAGAAAAATGCAGGGAGGAAACTACTAACTCTTAAAAAAGTTGAATTATGCCATTTTGAATTTCCCCAAGAACTGTTACTCTCGGTCAACCATAAAAAGGAAAGGAAGGCAACACATGATACATAAAAGCACGAAGACAAATCATCTGGATTAAATATATGCATTTGCCATTGGTCCTATGGTTACGGTCAATGGACGGATCACTACAGAATGCTAGCATAAAATATGTCCAGATTCTTATGATGGCAACTGGCAATCAATGATTCATGCAGCCTCTTTTTCTATGTAATCAATTATATAGACTTGTGTCCCCATTCACCTGCTAAAAAATCTTAAAAAATAATCTTCTTCATGTTTAATCTCTTGATACTATCTCCCTTTCCCAAGAATTTCGTTTTCTCAAGAAACTAAAGTTGAATAAATATGTGTTTTATTTGCTGGACTATAAAAGTGGGCAACAATTATAGTGGCATAATAAATAATTATACAACTTCTGTGTATCTTCTAGCAATCAAACTACCTAATTTTTTGCCCTACAATTGTTTAAAAATAAACTCCCGGCCTCAAAAGGAATATAATTATTAAAGAAAGAATGACTATAAGCTATGGCAAACATTTGTCCCTCAAAATCTATTATATGATAATTTGAAGACAAATATGAGTTTTATGTACAGTTTACCGACTCTATTTCCAAAACGGCCTTTAGTGGATTTTTTTTTGGTAGTTTTATCTTTATAGTAAGTGGAAAAGTTGGGATTGGCTGTAAAACTTGCTCACTCACCTAAATTATGAGGGTGATAAATTATTCCCTTAAATTAGTGCCATGTATTCAGTCGGGTATTGATGAATCATGCTTTGAGAACCACACACAGAGAGAGAGAGAGAGAGAGAGAGAGAGAGAGAGAGAGAGAGAGAGAGAGAGAGAGAGAGAGAGAGAGAGAGAGAGAGTAGCTAAATAAAAGTGATTTAAGTGTACTCTAAAGCATTATGTGTATTGTTTTTGGGTTAATATCTTCATAACATTTTAAAATAATTTTCATATCAACAATCTCCCTTTAAAATTTTAGTTTAAAGTTACAAAGGTCTTCTTTTTTTTTTCTTTTTTTTTTTTCAGTTCAACCTATATTAGGTAAGCTTATTAAAGGTACTTCAGAATTATTTATTTTCTTATTTGTGTCCAGCAAGTTGCGTTTCTGATGTTATATTTTAAACAAGAAAGAAAAAAAAAAGAATGAATAACTAAAAAGACTATGAAAATAGGACCTTGCCATAGCCCCCACTTCCAATGCTGTTTGCTTCTGAAAATTCATTGTGCATTTCTTAAGCTCCATAAATGAGAACCATCTTGCTCCTTGTAAACTGGGGATGCTGTCACCAGTTCTTTGGGGATCCCAAGATGCTGCATTTAAATGAGATTTATGTCAAAAAAATGTTACAACTTCAGAAAAAAGAATACTCTATCCTTTTATTTGCTGATCTTACCAAAAGGATTCAGCTGAGCACGTGCTTGTTCTGCTCTTTTCTTTTGACGGAAAGCATAAACTCCAACAGTCAATACTAATAAAACAAGCAAAGATATAGCAACTGCTACTCCAATGATAATGCCAGCGGACAATGATCTTTTTGCTCCTATAGATATGCCATTGATATGAAAAAACAAAACAAAAATCTGGAAAGTTTCTCATATAACTTGAAACTTGATTACCTCCAAAAGGTGGATAACTTTCATCAACATAATAGAAGGGCCCAAAATAAAAATCCTTGAGAAGATCAGCATTTTGTCTGTTAAGCAGGTTCCCAATTGCAGCAATCTCTGTTCTATTAAAAGAATCTCGACCAGAAGGAAAGACTTGCACTGTTAATTGACGACAAATCATGAAGCTCGTATGTGGACTATTAACCGAAACTGAATCAACGGGAAGCTTTTCTTTCTGAAAATGATCCATCAGGAACTCCTCAATAGACAGAAAGTAACTTGAGATATCAAGAAAGAATGAAAAGTATATGAAGTACAGGGTTCCTGTGTATGGAACTGTACAACTACAGTTTCTGCTTAATGTTTTATCTGGACGGCAAACAACAAATCTACAATTATTTGATGCATTAGGGAATGAAAAATTGATGTTCTTTACTCCACAGGATCTTTCATTTGCTTCCATTCCCTTACAAATTGGATTGTTGACGAGTCTGCATACAATAACATAATAATAAATCCATAAAGGAAATAAATAGGCAATAGATTATGAAATAAATTAAAATAAATTACAGCTCACATCAGCGTAGTATTGTCTCTTGTCGTTCCCTTGAGATGTTCAATGGAATTGTTCTGCAGATCTATGAGTCTCAGTTGGTTGCTCTGGCTCATGCCGGTATCCAGTGTTCCACTAAGCTGGTTGTAACTTAGAATTCTGCCACAAATTGTTAAAACAATGACCCATATTTGCAATTTCTTTAATGAAGAATAGATATTTAAACTCAAAAGCATAAAATCTAATTAATATATGCTTGTTATTCTGAATTATATACAATGAAACATGGTGTTATTTGAGATAAAGCTGATACTCACAGTGTCTCCAAATGAGGAGAGCTGAAGAGTTCAACTGGGATCTCCCCTTGAACTTGTGTACATTCCATCAATCTATCAATACAAGGTTAAAAAACATCTACCTTAGCAAATAATTATGAAGTAGTCTTAGTCATGCGCGAAGAGATACATGTTTGCTAGTCTATACAGACAAAGAAACTCCCATCCCATCCACGAAGAGAACCAAATTTTCATGCATGCGAGAAGAAGAAATGTGCAAGTTGGAAATTTTCTTTTCAAGAGCACTTTTGGATGGATACAACAGGATTATTATCAGTAAGGCTTTGAATTCAAGATAGAGGTTTTGAAAAACATGGCATCAAAATGTGCAAATGACACATTAACAGCTTGGGCACCAGTGCTAACAATGCCATGTATCCATCCAAAGGCAATTGTCTTAAGAGAAGATGGTTAAAATCATATGCCACAATTTTGAAAAGGAACCAACCAATCCTATACAAACTAGCATCTACATCAATCCATGATATCATATAAGATAGCTCAAAAGAATTTGATGTGTAACCAAACAAATGCAAATAGAGAGTGACATAATGCAAGGTCATTTAACAGACTAGGGGCTTACAAGAAGGAGGACTCTGAAAAGTTTTATTAGGATCTAAAATGCATGGATATGCTCTGGAAAGAGATTGAACTGATACTAAAATAAAATTTAAGAGTTAGGACATGATGTGACAAGCCCATCCTGACAATTAAACATGCTGATAAATATCCTTAAAAATAATAAAATGTTCAAATATTTGATACAGCTTATGCTACTATGCCAAAATAGTAAGGAATTATTATACATTCCATATATTAATAGTAGTGTAAGTAGAAATTTCAGATATAGTTTTTAATCTGATTACTGAAAGTTCCAATTGGATGTATTTTGCCTAGGAAATTCAAAAACTAAAAATCTCAAAAGTAAGCAATTGCCTTATAACTTGTATATGGCACACTTTTGTGCCCAATTGAAGACCTTCCACCCCTTCTTCTATGTGGCTAGTGATCTAAAGGGATAGTAGGCTTAAAACTCCCATATTTATTAATAAATACTGAGGGAAGTTACTTTCTTAAAAGTTTTACCAAGGTCATGACTGAGGATTTGCAAGTGTATTTTAGGTACATTTGCATCCTCAAATGTCCAAAAGCATCCACTTTGAAAAGATTAAAAATGATTAGGAAACATTTCAAATGTGTCCATGAATCAGGGTCTGACATAAATATGTCAACTCCTCAGATGTGTCTATCTGTTTTCAAATTGGTAAGTATCAAATATATTTGGATAGGCTTCCTGATTAAATCCGTGTCTGCATTCAGATGCTTTGCATATGAATGAGAGAGACAGAGAAAAAGAGAGAGGGGGAGAGAGAGAGAGGGAGGGAGGGAGGGAAGGGAAGAGAGAGAGAGAGAAAAGGAGACGTACAATGTATTCAAAGATTCCAGAACTGTAAACCCCAATGGAATATTTGATGGTCTGAAACTGTTGTTGCTTAAGTCCCTGTAAAGCACCTTTTGGTCAGAGAAGGATACAGTCTCAATTGATAAAAATATAATCAGAATGAGAGGATAAGAGAAACAAGGGAAAAGGGGATAAAAACATCAGTTTATCAAAAAATATTTCAACAATCTCTTATAATATAATTCTTGGGTACATGTCTAGCACAGGACTGATTATATCAAGATCATAGACAGTTGCACCAACTTACACATAGCTGAGGAATTTCATCCCAGTTAAGCTGAGGAATTTCATCCCAGTTAGGCTGGGAACGGGTCCATTCAGCTTGTTATTAGACAAGTGCCTGAAAGTAGATAACTATAACTATTTGTTCGTGAAGTGACTAATCCAGTACGGAAAACATAGTTGGCCAATTTTCTCTTGTCTGCTTACAGGTGCTTGAGATTCGTTAGGTTGTTGATGTTCTGGGGGACAGTTCCATTTAATAAATTTGAATCCAGACGTCTGTGTCAGAAAATTTAAATTCTCAATAACTAGAAAATTAATGCCACCTGCAAGAATTCCAAGAAAGGTTTGAGTGATTTAGTGACTTGAATACTTACACCACCTCCAATGTCTGCACGTATCCTAAAGAAGGAGGAATATTTCCAGTTAGTTGGTTGTTGTCGATACAACTGCACAGTAATAAAAAGATATATATTAGAGAATACAGGATTATGTCCAAATCAGAGCCTCATTACAAAAAATCTTCCAATATCAGGAATCTGTTTTCTAGCTTCTCTGTTGAGGATAATGATAATTTGATAGCCACTCAAGTGACTGACACATGTAGAAGGTTCATGTTTGAGCTAAAGAGTTGAGACGGGATGGCACCAGAGAGCTGATTTTTCCCCAAATGGCTGTAAGAGAATTCACTTTGATCAGATAAAGATCAAATTAATTAAATTTAAAGAGACAATCTTGAAACTCCATACAGACAAAACGTACAAGTGTAGAGTATTAACTAGCATGTCCAGACCAGGTAAGGTCCCACTAGAGATGGGAATGCTTCCAGTAAGCTTGTTATCATTTAGATCCAGCCGTGTAAGCTTAGATAGATTACCAATAGAATGGGGTATTGGTTCAGTGAAGCTATTAGAACTGAGACCTCTGCAAAAGGTGGAAAGAAATTTATAAGTTCAGAAAACATGGAACCGCACAGAATGTATACCAAAATTTAAGGATGTCGAAGACAAAAAACCAAGAGTGTTGAAAAAGAAATCTTCTCATGAAAGCTTCAGTAAACAATAAAAAGGGTCCTCTTCTAGCACTTCATATCTACAATTAGATTTAGCTTCCAAAGGAACTGAGTAATGCATAGCAAACAATCCTTAGATTAAAAGAATTACTCCAACTTTGATAGCCTTACAAGAAAACCAGATTTTGCAGAGAACCTATTGATTCTGGAATTGGACCAAAAAGGTTGCAGCCAACCAAGATTCTGCATGCAAGAATAAGAAACTTTTATTAAGGACTGTAATCCCAGTTCAAAAGCTAATAACTAAGAAAGAGGAAACAAGGAGTTTTTCCTCACAAGTGTGATAGATTCTTCAAATTCCCAATTGAAGACGGAAGAGTCCCTTTCAGACCTTTGTTGTTCGAGAGATCTCTATATGCATAAGCCATTAATATGACTAAAACAAGGATGATTTTAGATGTTTTAAAAGTAATATAGCAAAGAAGCAAGTGTGTGCCCATTGTTATGGGATGACCGGAATTCTAAGGGAGCAGAATTCAGATAAGGAGAATTGAGTGAGAGAATATTTGTGAGAACAGAAGAACAGATAAAAAAAAAAAAGAGCTACTTATCTACAATTAGTAGAGCCATGTATAAACATATGACGCGCTATATCTTAATAGAACAGTATTTGTTTTACTGACAATCAAAATCCCTATGCTCTGAAGAGAACCTGAAAATTAAAATTCTGCTTTGTGCCTGCATCTTATTATTAGTCAGGAAAAGTTTAAAAACTGTATTATGCTTCTGGAACCCACATGGATCAAACCCACATAACATAATCTCTAAGAAAGGTACAGTTTATTTCATGGTTTCCTTATTGTTTCTGAATATATTTTGCGGCATTAATTTGTACTTTAATGCATGAAGCATTCTGGATGAAGTGATGAAGAAAATTAAATGAAAACAATCTATCCCTGTTTGTGATCTGTAACTTAAATATCATATTCTCTTAGGACACCGTAAAAATATTCAGAATCACACTTAATGCATCAAATTATATAGAAAATGACTAAAAATTGTCACATTACCATGTCAAGGTTTTTGTCACAGTAATAAGGGCATTGAATCTTTGAAGTTTGGTTTCAAGATGCCTCTCAAATGCCAAGGGACTCGATAATTATGAACAGAGAAAACAACAGGCATAGAACTTACAGATTTTCTAATGCGGAAAATGACGAGATGTCTCCAAAATCAGTACCCTTAACACCCATGCCTTGTAATATCCTGTTAATTTAGAGTTGTCTGGTTAGATTCAAGAATCAGAAAGTGTTAAAAAAAAAAATAAGGGAAGATACAAAACAGTAAACTGACTTACACGCTTGTTACACGTGAACCTGTGCAGTTAATTCCATCCCAACCACTACCACATGGATCTGACCCAACCCAGTTACTTGGCAAGTTCTTCCATTTTTCTTTGAGAGTATTTAGCACAGTAACTGAAATCAGAAATCAAGGACACTTATCATATTTTAATCATGAGATTTTTAAGAAAACACGAGAACTTAGCATTTTGCCTAAACACTTCCATTAAAATTCCAAGAGTTCACTTATATGGCAGTAAGGAATTTGCAGCACACAAAACTGACATCCTACCAACTTGAAGTTTTTCCATCATCTGACTTTTACATCATACTTAGGCCCATCTTTTGAAATTTGTGGCTTTTCAGAGTGCCTAACGAATTAATAGCAAAATTTGAATCCCTGATTATAAGTCTAAGCTTCTAATCTTGACGGTACACAAAGATGAGAAAGAAAAAAAAGCAGTTCAGATTTTCATGAGCCTTTCCTGCGTAGATTAAATGAATGGTTCAAATCTTAATTATATGTCACAGCATTGGCGCATTTGTAGAAACAGATAATCTCATCGAAGCGCTTTTTTCGTTTATTATAGAAAACATGTTACACTATCTACATGACAAAAGGGAACAACAGACAAGGATTGTAGGTACACCACGAAACATTAACTTCAGCTACTGAATGATGACTTGAGACTTGATGCACAAAGAAGAAGCTCAGAGTAGCTTACGATCAAGAGGGTCTGTTTCCGCTGCAATGACCAAAATTTGTGAGAGAGAAAACAGAAGGAAAGCCGACATTTTCGTACCCATTTGTCCACAAACAAAAGACGTGCTCAAACAATTGTTATTTCAATACAAGGGCATCAGACATCCCGAATATTCACACCGATTCTAACGTTGGAAACACAAACACCAAAAGAGAAATTTTGTTACACAGTTTCTCGTATAGGGACCTTATCCACCTATCAATGAAAACATACAAACACAAGAATACGAGCAACCAGTGCGAGAAAAAGTTTGATCAAGCGGTGCATTTGAAAACTTGTTTCCAATAAACCCAATAAGAACTAGCCATGGAGGTAAATAAGAAACTATTCAGCCGTCGTCATCACCCACAAACGCGTTAGTACGTCACTGCCAACGCTTCCATTGCCATCTCTCTCGTGTATGACCTCAGAGAATGAACCGCTCTACGGGAGTGGAAGATTCGTTATTAATAACGCTCGGAAGCTTACAATTTCATTTTTGAAAAGGAAAAAAAGGCACAGACACCCCTAGATTTATTAATATCTTCAAATAAACCCCGTGATTTATTAATATTTTCAGTTCTAAATAGCCCAAATAATATAAAGATTTAGTAAAGAATTTCTTTGTATTTATAATCTAAATTTTGAAAATTGAAAGGTAAAATAGTGTGTTTGTAGATGGCCAATAATCTGAGAGTGCTTGCGCATACTAAACTTTTTTAGGATGAACTTAAGGATTGGGCTAAGGAACACGGGGCATGGTTTCTCATAGTTAACGGACCTAACTTCCGAAATTAAAAAGTACAAAGGCACGTTTGTAAATGGTACATAGTTTAGGGTCTCTTCGCTTGTAATTGACACGGTCACTGCTAAGTGACCCAATGCATGAAGGTCAATTGGTTGTAGATAATTTATAAAAGAAAATAAAAAATTAATAAAATTTATATTGACAAAAGCCAACAGCTGCAAATTACCATGTTGCCCACAACAATCATTTCTTTTTCTTTTTCTTTTTTTTTTTGGCAATCCTACAATTCCATGGAGGAGGTCAACCACCTGGTATTGCATATTATTCATACAAATTAAAATTATTAGTAGTTTGGAAAATAAGAGCAGAGCTTGGTCAAAATAGTCTCTAGATTTTTTAATTTATTTTTAAAATAAAAGTTGAAAAACTGAAGAATTTTGGTAATATTATGCTTCTGTGTACCCTTTTATGTAAATTCAAAATTTATATAATGACAATTAATTAATTAAATTTCACCTTGTACTCACTGTACATGGTAAATTTCAGTTCGCATTTCTTTTACTCTAGTAAAATAATATAAAAAATTAAACTACGTGTAAAATTATCTGACTGTGGAACAAAAATTGCTTGTCTTTTTGTAGTGTACCCGGCAGTAGTGGAGTAGCTGAATGCTTTTGAATGAGGTATTGATTGACATTAATTCAATTAAGAAGGGTTGATTAGGTATTTTATTTGAAAACATTTTCAGAAAACAATTGGGTGTGTGTGGTGGAAACATTCAAAACCAGCCATATATTAAATTTTATGGTGCGTGAATTTTTAAAAATTTAATTTTTCAAGTACCCCCCTGGAAGCATTCAAAGCCAGCAGCCTAATAAAACAATAACCATTAATTACAATAACCCATATTTGAGACACAGAAAACAGCAGGAATGTCAGAAACTTTGCACTCATTTCTCCACAAACAGTGGGTATTCTCCAACAAGTGCTATTGTAACAGAAGGGCATCAGACATCCTGACCGTTCAGCTTGGATTCTAACGTTCGAAACTCGAATTTGAAAGTGCAAGTTCTTGGTAAGGCGCCTACTTGTCCAACCCAAGTTCCATAAAACCAATCGAATTGAATCTTCTTGACATATTGCTCATCCCAATTAAGTACTCTCTCTCTAGGGCAAACGACGGACCGGACAATGAAGTATTTCTCTCTTTCCGGTTTGAGAAAACCAACTCATATATATATAATATATATATATTCTCTCCCGCGCATATAATCATTTACAGGAAAAAAAAAAAAAATTACAAATGAATGCAATCATCTTGTACGGGAAAACGTTTGACTGGGTGTCGCATTTGAAAACTTGCTTCCAGGAAACCCTCTTAGAACCTGCGTGGTAGTAAATAAGAAGATGTTCAGTGTGTTTACTGCCAACGATTTTATTGCCACCTCTCTCTTCTAGGGAGCTCACGTAGATAACTCGACAGCCGTAAAGCATTCGTCGCTCGTAAAGCTGTTAAGTTTTACATTTTCAAAAGGAATAAAGCGGAGAGACCCCAGCATAATTGGACATCTTCAGGTGAACCCCTTAATATTTTTTCTTTTGAAACTGTGTAACAAAATATTTTCTTTCAATCACGGTTCAAAAATAAGGAAAAAGCCACAATATCCCCGAATTTTAGTAAATTTGTACAAAATGCCTTCCTGCTATAAAAATTGAATCGGAGTGCATTCATTATTTTTTGCATCAAACTTCCTTTCCGTTAAAAGTTTGTTTCATTAAAGTTTATTTTCGAAAAAAAAAACCAACAATACCTATCTATGTTTTAGTTAATTTGTACAAAATCATCAGCTAATATAATAATTAAAATAAAATATATTATATTTCAATATTCTCCTACTTATTTTAGGTGAGGTGAAAATAAGCGTAAATTTTACTTTTCTATGATTTAGTTCAAAATCAAAAATGATTATTTGATTAAAAATAGTATTTTTTTCATTGTATGATTTATTTTTTTTGTGTAATAAACTTAATTCTTAATATTGAGAGTTGAGCATTTCTAATTATTATTTTTATTTTTCTTTCTTTTTTTTTCTCTTTGTTAAGTGTGTTTTATTTTTTAAAAAAACTTTTGAAAAATAATTTTTTATACTCATTATGGTTTATTTCATCAGAATAGCTAAAACAAAATTAAGAATTCTATAATTCTTTTTAAAAAATAAAAAATAAAAGAAAATCAAACAAAACTTAATACATTTTAATTATTTTGGTCCCAAAATCTTTCTTACTTTTATGTATTAATCTTTATTTTTTATATATTCTTTAATTAAATCCTTAATTCAACTATTTCAATTTAATATTGTTAATTGTGAAAAAAATATGACTAATGTTCAAATAATCTAATAAAATAAGACAGTTTGATACAATTTTCATATTATAAGAGAGTTTTGTGCAATCTAAAAAAATAATATATATGATTTATACTTTTAATCCATCAAAATCAAACTAGATGACAAATTTGAGAGCTTCTCATTCTTGCCTTGTTATGGATATTTCACCCTAAAAAATTTCAATTTAATAATAAATAATAATAATAATAATAATACCTTTTAAGCAATAAATTGTCCATAAACTAGTAGGCACTAGGCTTAAATATCACAATGTGTTTAACTTGGAACTTTGGGGTAGGCTATCATGGAATATTTTTGCTATATTTTTTGTATTTGACTTTTCGAAATATGCCACATGTCCAATTTTTTGGCTATATATGTAGTACATATAATTGAATCAAACCATAACAGGAATTAATTCATGGTTGAACTAATTGAGTTGAACTGTTGGACCAGATTTTGGTTGCCATGGTTGGGGTTCTTGTTAGTCCAAGTAATGAAATTTAGTATCTATACTAAGAGAGACCTATTTTATGGTTTCACTCAATTCAGAACTAATTTTTGAAATTAAAAAATGGAGTCGTGTGTTTGCAAATAACCCATGATTTAGGAGGGTGTATGCTCGTGTATGCTAAACTTTTGTCGCGTAGATTAATAGGATTGGATGGAGGGATATTGCGTCAATCTCATATTTGAAAGGGCCAAACTTTTAAACTGAAAAATGCAAAGGTACTTTTGCAAAGAGTTCATAGTCCAGGGTCCCTTTTTTCTCCCCAATTTTATAAACTCCTAAAGGGAGTTTGGAAAATATTTTGTGAATTTAAGAGTTGCAGTTTAAGATAAAAATAGGCGAAGTAAATTTAGAACTGTCAATGAGTTGGATTTTAATTCGAAACTAATCCAAATTTTAGGCTTTTTAATTGATTAAAATATCTGATGGATTAAATCCGATTATAAATATCTGTAATCCGAAATAAGTAGACTAGATATGGAATTAAACAATCTGATCAATTAAAAATCAGAATCCGAATATTTTAATAATAATTTTTATTTAATTAATAATCATATATATATTAATACATACTTTTATATATAATATAATATATATGACATTATAATTAATAATGCACTATTTTGTATTTGTGAGATATTTTATTTAATAGAATAATGTATATTTTTTCTAAACTATTCTATAATATTCTTCTACTTTCTCTAATTTTAGTTTTTCTAGTAAGTATTATATTTAATAATTAATTAATTTTGAAATTTCATGAAACACTTGGATAAATTGATTATAAAATTTCTAAGTTCTAACTATAATACAAATAAAATTTAATAATTTTATAAAATATTGAAACCTATTATAACTTTTGTAATATATTATATAACAAAAGTTATTCTTAATCATTCATAAATAAAAATTTATTTCTAAATTTTATTTATATTTTAATAAAAGTAAAATAATTAAACATAAATCTTACCTGAATTTTTATTATTCATAAATAATAATTTATTTGATTTTACATTTTTTTACTTATTGATTATTAGATTTTAATTATTGTTAACTGTTATTTGGATTAGATTTTTTATTCAGATTTTAAACTTTTATCGGATTCGGATATGGTAATAATAAGTAGAAATCCTATAGGATTTTGGATCAGATTTAAATATATACATTGATAATCAAATTTGGATTCAAATAATGCTGATTTAATACGAATCCGATCCATTTACATACCTAATTAAATTATACTAAGTTGTATATGTTTGCAAAACATGTTATAACATTTTTTAAAGTAATAAAATTGATGTTTAGAATATCACTTTTATAATTTATTTTATGAGAAGAAAAGTTTTTGAAAAAATTCAAAACATTTGAAAAAAATTCATGAGATAATTTTTGATTTAAGAAAAAATCTAGAAACAAAATATTTAAAACAATTTCTATTTAATTACACTAATGCCACTTATAATTAGGAGTAATTCCCTCCCATATTTTTGGAATATGCATCTAATTCTATCTTTCTTGCTTGAATAAAGAAAAATAGAAGTTGGAAGCAAATTTCCAAGCACTCCAAAAGTAGTCGTGTGTTGCAAAGTTCAAAATCACTTTTGAGAGACTATTGAAAACACAACCTAAAGAGTTACTTACCAATTCAACTTCAGGGTTGCTTAAGAACCTAGACCAGGTCAA